TGCTGGGGTCAGATGGCCCCAGTCAGATGCCAATCCAGCCTTCTCTTAAAGACCCCCAAGGTAGGAGGGAGCATCAGCTCCAAGTTCTGGCCACCCTTTCTCTGAAGTTCTTCCTGATGTCCAGCCTAAATCTGCTCTGTCAGTTTGTGACCATTATTCCTTGTTACTCAAGAGGTACCCTGCTTTCTGTATATGTATGTTACCCAGTAAATGCTACATCAGTATAAGTTCAGCTACTTTGTGAGGTTCTCTCCCATTCTGAAACGTACACTTCTGGAAGTCAGTTTCAGGTTTAGCACCATCATTTGTTAGTGGTCTCTCTGATGCATAGATGTGCATGGAATAGCCACTGAAATAAGTGACATCTCATCATCTCCTTTATGGAAATGCTATACAGTTGTTTCCGATATTGTAGCTTTTTAGAAAAAAAAATTGTGCGCTGAATACTGACTTAGAACCTTCTGTGTAAGATCAAAATAAATCATCCTGTTATGTTAGTTTATCCAGTTTATGGCTAAGTAAGCATTTATCAGGGATGATTTTTAGGAATAGCATTCATGCAGGGGGTTGGGCCAGATGACCTTCGAAGTCCCTTCCAACCCTATTATTTTATGATTCTAACTGTATAAATTATCTTTTATCAGCTTCTCTTGGCCTTTTTAAACATTGAAATAAATTGGCCTTATTGGGGCTAATCTTTGGTGCTGAGCATTGAGTATGCAGAACACCCCATCTTGCAGCATTTAGCTCATGTGTGTGTTTGTTTTTTTTAAATCCTCTTCAATATTTTGTGTGCCTTGAAGTTTGGCATCGGTGTTCCTGCAATATCAGTTGCCATGGGATGGGAAACTGGAAAGCTTCTAATTGGCAATGTTGTAAATGTTGTGGGGTGTGTCTACATGTTCATTAATGTGCCATAATCACGGTGCATTAAGTTTAGTGCCTATAATGAAAGGTACTAACTTAATATGCTGTAATCAGCACTACTGCACATTAGCACAGGTGCATGGATTTTTTGTGACACTACTGCGCATTAGACTAAATCTACTGTGCATTAGGACAGGCTTTGCCCGCCATGCTAATGCGCAGTAGAACTAGTCTTCTGTGCATTAAGCGTCTCACGTAGATGTGCCCACGGAGTAGTATCTTTAAAAAAATGCTCAACAGAGTTAATCTTACATTAGCTAAGAACAGTCTCTGAGTGTGTCGTTGGTCTAATTTTAGTTGCATTTTTCTACACCAAGTCTCTGGCTCAGTCATTCTTTACTCCCTGTGCTCTTTTTGCTCGGTCAACACTGTTTATCAGCTCTAGTTGGCGGAGCTGTGTTACCTGTTGGTTTGAGCACAATTAGATTTTTGTATAACCTGCATGCAAATAGCAGATATACGTATCTTGCATTGGTTTACAATGGGGATTGGAATATGACTCAAAGAGCGCATGACTGTCCAGCTTAAATTATATCACTGTAATAGTCCGAGTGACTCCAGAATACAGTCATTGTTAGTTTTGTAGTTGAGTTGGGCAGATTCTGAGCCAAATTCCGTAACTGAAGGTTTCCCAAAAAGCTAGAAAATGGGAGGGATTTGGAGTTCTGATTTTACCTATCTCTGGAGCAATTGCTGATCTCACTTTAGCCAAAGGCATGTCAAACTCCATGGAAATTGGTGGAGTTACTCTAGACTTACTCTGAATTTAGTCCTCTGTTAGCAAAGAATAAACTAAGCTTTGGTATAAAGTTCTTTTAGTCTTGCTTTCCTGCTTGCTTAAAAGACTAACATATGAGCAAATATAAATATTTTATGGCTTTATAGAGTGATTTATGAAGTTGGATCAAGGGCTTTTTCTGTCACTTATAATTATCTTTATAAGATTTTTCAATTAAAAAAAAAAAAACATTTTGGAAGGTGGGGGGATTCCAAGACATTGGAACAGAGTAAACAGTTTTCATAGTGCTGCTCCGTACTTTCTGCCACCTGTGTATTACTGACTGTTGAAATTAAGGGAATGTTAGCACTTCTAGTTCAGTTGGCGACATGAAATACATGTACTTCCAGACATACCTTGGCACATTTGGAAACAGTTTATTAATTTGCCTGAGGACTAAAAGTGGAAGGGAGGAGCTATTATCAAGGAGAAGTACTCCTCCTTGGCCCGGGAGTGTAGGAGGGCTATTAGGAAGGCCAAGGTAGAGATGGAACTCAGGCTAGCGTCCAGGATTAAGGACAACAAAAAATCCTTCTTCAAGTACATTGGGAGCAAGAAGAGGGCCCCAGACAATGTAGGGCCCCTGCAAGACACAAACGGTAATCTTGTGGCTACGCCAGACAAAGCTGATATTTTTAACAGTTTTCTTTTCCGCTGTTTTCTTGAACAGGGACTGAGAGCCCACCTACCAGAGGTAGGGACAATCTTGGGGCTCTATCAGGCCTTCAGTCAGCGCAGATGTAGTTAGGGATCTTCTGGAAGGGCTAGACATTTTTAAATCTGCGGGTCCAGATGCCCTCCACCCAAGTGTGTTGAGGGGGCTGGCAAGGGTCGTTGCGGAGCCCTTGGCCCAGCTGTATGAGCATTCGTGGTCATCTGACCAGGTGCCGGGGGATTGGAAACTGTCTAATGTGGTCCCAGTTTTCAAGAAGGGGAGGAAGGAGGACCCAAGTAACTATAGGCCTGTAAGTCTCACCTCAGTGCTTGGGAAGATCTTGGAGAGAATCATCAAGGAGTACATCTGTGGGGGGCCAGCAGGGGAGATCATGCTCAGGGGCAATCAGCATGGGTTCATCAAAGGCAGGTCCTGCCAGACCAACCTGATTGCCTTTTATGACTAAGTAACTAAATCCTTGGATGATGGTGTCACCGTGGACGTAGTCTTTCTAGACTTTAAGAAGGCCTTTGACACTGTCTCTCACCC